GAAGAGGTAATTGCATTAATGCTTATCCGTTCCAGCTCATACTGTTTCAAAACGGAATTGGACTTCATGGATTAGATGGCATAAAAAAATTGAGTTCTTCCCTCAAGGCAAATACCCATATGCGAGTGCTAAATTTATCTGATAATAGCTTGACTGCCAGGGGCTCCAAGTCAATTGCCGCTGTATTACCATTTCTGCCTAACCTAGAGGTTAGCTTTCAATTTTTTATCGCACTTATCTATTTCATAAGAATATAAGTTCAGCGTGTTCTTGCTTTACTATCTCACTAGATGTCTTGCTTGTAGATACTTCAAATTGATGATTGCCTTATTCGTTCTGCTGGGGCTGACTACCTTTCTAGTGTTCTAGATGACAATGCCTGTGTGCCAAAGCTTCAGGAGCTGCACCTCTCAGGTAACGAAATCAGTCGTGACGCAGCTGTTCGGCTGGTCCTGTCCCTGAGTACTAAGCGTCATTTGCGATACCTGAACCTGAATACGAATGAACTGGGCTCAAAAGGCATAGATGACGTCATCCAAGCTATGGCCTCTATCGGTATTCTACATACAGTTTTTCGTAATGGCATGTTGAAAAATGATCAAGGTAACATAACTAAAGATGTGGCGCTTGAAGCATTTGATGACGATCAAGGCTCTGAATCCGAAGAAAGTGAGGACCCTGACGAAGCAGAGGGATACGAATCAAGATCTGATGATTATTCGGATCTCGCAGGTTAGTTGATCTGCACTATTTAAATCAGCATCAGACCATATCTAGACACTAATTTTTAGGGCCCTTTTGCGAATCAATTTATTAAGCTAATCCTTTTGTTTATTAACTAGATGCTGATATTACTAAATTAAAAGTTACCAACCAAAGTTCTTCGGCCTTTAGTTTTACGGCCACACTAGAAATGCTGAAGCAGACTCAGGAACTAAGCAAAACTTCTAACGGACCGCGTAATGAATCTAAACGGAACACGGACTCACTTTTTTCAGATGTCCCAACCCAAGGCTCGTACACAAATCTCTTTGCTCCTCCAAAACTAACTTACCCTTCAAGTACAAGTGTGATACCTAAGAATGACGAATGCGAAATTACTACGGCGCTCGTCGATTGTTTGTCTTCAGAGTCTGGTACTCTGATTGCATTTGTGAGGCTGGCAAGTAAGCTTTTCATTGATGTTGCTCTCAATTTTTAATTGCGGCTATCCTATATTTAT